AACAGCTTATCCTGAAACGCACAAGCTGCCCCAAACGCACCATACTTGGCATTGAAGAAGCCGCTAAATAACGCTTGTGCATTAAAATGTGCATTTCATTAAACGAAATTACTAATAATGATATTTTTAATATGATATAAATCTTTTTAATCTTATAAATGTAAAAATCAGAATTAGTTATTAGATATGTAAATTCATAAGAATTGTCTGGTATGTATGCAAATGATGCCTCTTATTTGGAATCTTTTATGGATGGTGAGCATTTCAATTATATGTCTTTAGATTCTTAATTTTATTTTAAGCAATGGTCTACTTGTCCGAGCATATTTTTGGGATGATTTTTTGATTAAAAAATATGAAGATAGAATACATTGCTAATAGATAATTCTAGTTGCTAAATTATTTTTATTTATTTATTTTGCATTTTTTTTGCTAGTGCTTAATTAATATGTTTACATTGGAAAAAAAAATATGAATCTTTGAAGACTTATGGCACTAGACATCAAGATGTTTAAATTATAACTTTTGCTTGATCTAAAATCTATGTGAAGAAGGATTTTTTGTTATTATTTGTGAAGATATTTAATTGAGAATGTGTCTGAATGTTGATAAACGATAATTTAAGGATGTGACAGCTCCCAAAATGAGAAGAGAAGTAATAGTACCTAAAAGAGAGAACTAACTAGTAATTATGTTTTTTTTATTTTTCATTTCATTCCTCAATGTGCTCCAACAAAATCTATTTATAGAATAAAAGTGGTAGGATACTACAACAAGAATTTCAATCTATTAACTAATTACACTAATTAGCCTAAACAAGATATTAAGTAATATAGTATCCTATTATTACTCACCCCTTCAAAAAGAGCTTGCCCTCATAGTAGATCAAATCATAGAAAGAAAAAGAAGAAACAATGATCATGAAATCTATAAGCAATAACTAGGAATATTTCAAAGTTTTAAAGTTTTCAAACTTGTTGTAAGGGTTGAACGAAACAAGTTGGGCTAGCTTCAATCTTTCCAGTCTAGATTTTCAGAGAGCTTAATCCACGAAATCTTCAAGTCATTTTCCAGCTCGAGCAATAACGCTGGAGGGGCGAATACATCGAGGATGCCCAATATGGTATAGTTCTTAATCTTGTGAAACTAAAGGGGAGGGGCAAGGTGTGTTGTTTGTTAATGAAAAGAGCAGTGATAGCTCCTAAGATTTCAAATTGGATGTCAGAATAACTATGGAGGAATGTGTTGATGCATAAAAGCTTTGCTGCTCTAGTTTTGCCAATGAAAGGATATTCAGTTTGGAATATTCTCACATTGAAGAATTCTTTTCTTTGTGACAATGACCTTGAGGAGTTGTAGGGATATTCCTATGTGAAATTGCATAATCCCTTAGTTGTATTTCAGGATTTAATAATATTTCTTGTGTGCCAGAGAATTTATAGTGGTGGAGTAATAATTCAATATCTCAGACTTGTACGAAGATCCAAAACACACACACACACACACACTTAGATAAAAGAAATTTAATCAGATGAGACATCAAGATTTTTTTGTGTAGAAAAACTTAAAAAAGGAACAAACCCCAATGCTCAACCAATTAAATAAATCCATCATATGATTGTAAGTTTATTGGTTCGCTCTTCTCTCCAATTAAAGAATATGGAATTACAAAGTTAATAATTGCAAATGAAGAATAGTATTCCAACGTTCATAGACATAATTGCACTATAATAACTGTGGTTCTTGGTGATAATAGATATAGAAAATTGCAAGGGCTGTAGTTGAATGCTATAAAGATAATATTCTGTTATAAATATTGTAGACGGTGGTTGTAATACTATTAGCTTGTCATAGAGGTCGTAGTTGAAATTCGTAGTAGTAGTTGATCACATAGGTCATAGTTGGTAGCTTTATAAGTGTTTGTTGGTCATAAAGGTCGCAGTGGGAGATAGTGATGACAACAGTTGGCCACGTAGATTGTAGTGGGTAGCTATAATAGTAACTAGTCACATAGACTGTCATGAGTAGATGTAAGAGCATCAATTGGCTACAAAAAACTATAGTGGAGGGTTGTGATGATAATAGTAGGCCAGGTAGACCAAGTGCAGAGTTGTAATAATATCAGTTGGCCAAAAAAACTGTAGTGGAGGGTTGTGATGATAGTAGCTTGCTATGTATTTGCTAAATATTTCAACTGAGCTAAGATATATTTTTTCTCTACCCTTGATATTTATCAACATGTAGGATATCTTTACTTTTACATGTCATTAAATTTCAATTAAATTTAAACACATTTATGAAGAGAAGGCTCTATTTTGAATGTTAACAATTAATTTTGTGAACATGATCTCCTTCAAGCTACTAAACTTTATATCCTAAATTCTTATCTCTACAATTTTCTTTTTGAGGAGTTACATTAATGTAATACAGAAGGGCATATGTGATTGCGCTTTTATTTTTAACCTGCTATGGTGAGAACATTGTAACTTGTAATTAGTTGAAAATTTTTATGATTGATATCTTCAATAGTTTTATGATCGACATTTTATCGATAATTTTTTTGTGATAGTTTAACTTAACTAGTTGCAAATAATAATAACACCACCGCCAAATTACCCTCTTTGCAAATAATAATAACAACATCACCAAAATAGCCAATGAAGTCACAGATGAATTGCATTCTTATAGCGAAGCCTTTCTTATCAAGATAATATGCTAAGAGAGTTGATGTAACCCGTACGCATGAACATATTATCATGTTACACTCATCTCAAATCAAGTTCAATCATTTAAGAACTCAATTTTATCATATATTGATTGAAACATCCTTACATAATTTTTTTCTATAAAATTTATTTCATTTAATACATAGCTAGCAAAAACCTACTAGAAAAGAAGAGCTTTCTCTTCATCTGGGATCAGTCTACTCTCCTCTTTATCAGCTTCTCTAATCTTTGCCCACAAGACAACATACAAGCCAGCAAACATTAGGCCCATTCCTATCATGCTGCAATATCAATAGAAGAAAATCAAATAAATTCCATATTTTAGTACTTTATTTTCATTAACAAGTCATTAATGCATGCAAGTAATACAAATATATACCTCCCAAGACTGATAAACTGCTTTAATATCAGTGCTGAAAGCATAGCCGCACAGACAGTTTGCGTTGGGTGAAAGACTGAAACAAAAACCGGTCCTTTCTTGTGAACACTCATTGTCACCACTGTTGAGCTTATGAATGACACCGACCCCCCCTGCAACATGATATTTTATAAGCATATTATTTTTAATATAATAAGTGACAATAAAAGTCAGGAAAATGCAGGGTTAATATATGTAATACCACTAATACAGCACTAATAACGCCTGTGAGGCCGAGGCTAGCCGCTCCACTGTTTATATTTCCTTGCAACATATACTGAAATATTACAGCAAAAACAGAGCCTATTGTGGAGGTTATAACACCCAGAGACATTGGAGCAGGAAAATCCACCATTGTTGTAGCCTGCAAGTTTAAGCAATGTCAATCAGGAAGGACAGAAATCAGGCAGCTAAATTAACAGTTTTCTATAATTAGAAACTTCCTTATTTCCAATATCTTATTTCACTTTTAGCTGTATATTTAGATTAGTAATATGCATTATTAAATTATCTAAAATAGATTATGCACTTTATTTTGCACTTAAAATAGATTGTAAAATTATTATATAATGGAATGAAAGCCATCGAGCCTATTCAGGATTTAGCCTATTTTTCTTTTGACAAACAAAAATAATATATAATAATAATAATAATAATTAAAAACTTGCCTGCAAAACCAAGACGCAAGAGAGAATCACAACAGCTGCAAGCAGATAGAGGCAGCCTATAATCCACTCATTAGAGCTGGGATTAATGGCCGAATCCTCTCTTAAAAATATAGATCGTAAATTTGCTGATGGTGCGGGTTTTACAGAATTTCCCTGCAGGAAGCTCATCGCCATGGCTCCACTTAAGCATATCACAGTCCCCATTACCTTATATCTTGTATACTTGCACTTAATATCAAATTTCTCAATCCTACAATAAATAAATAAATATA